TTCTGTTCTATTTTCCTGAAATACGACACAGAGGCAAATGCAAATCCAAATTCCAGGTAAAAGCACATATAAATGTGTGCAACTATTTTTTTGTAATCTTGGCGACCACCCAGCATTGGGGCATATTGGGTGCAAATATAAATTAATACTCAACTACATTAAAAGCTTTATAGAGCTCTGGAAACTTATTATATATAAATAATCTTCAGTCAAATGCTAATAACCCAAAAGATCTACCTCTAATTACAGTAAATATTATAAATTGAAATGTCACAATACTAGTCCTGGCTCTGTCTCTGCCCCATGTTTTCCCCAGCTCTGTTTTTTTCTGGACTGCCATTCCACACCTCTGGATTTCGCATCAGTCTGTCCTGTACTCCTGCCTCCCTCATTGTCCAGGCCTGGCTGCTGCACCCACTGCACCTGTCTTAACTCACCTGTTCAACTCCTTGTGTATGTACTGCTGCTCTGTTCCTGTAGTTGCCAGATTTCCTGATGGCCTTGCACATGGCTTTGTGCATCTCAGTATTATAGCCCTCTGTTTCTGGTGTCACTGTAATCTCTATAATTTCGGCTTCACTTTAAGAGTTTGAAAACTCTTAGTTCGAAATTTCCCAGTTATTTTCACAACTAGCAATATTATTTGTTTGTTTGTTTCTGATTTCAAAAACTGCACACTAGAAAAACACACTAGCACTTAGTAGACTACTAGAGCAACCACCCAGTGCACTGTTTTGCCAGAAGCCCTCACCCCTGTATCCAGTGTTTATGCTAAGCTAAGCTAACCAAGCTGTTGGCGGTGGCTTCATATTTATCATACACCCATGAGAGTGGTGTCAACTAGCTCTGCAAGAAAAAGGTATATTTTCTCAAAGGTCAAACTACTGTGAAAAGAATTTCTAAATAAATTGCTCCAGTAAAGTATTGTGAGTGATGATGATAATGATCATGTGACAGTAATCAAAGCCATCAACTATTTTTAAAATAATTGTCATGCTTTTTCCAGTTGGTTTCATTTGAAACTCTGATTCAAAAAAATGTATTTAATATACCCTTTTGAAGCAGAGACTGCTGATTTGATAGAAGGTGATTAGATTTTTAATATCTACCCATTTGGGTTTTGTTTTTGTCCCATAGGTAACTTAAACCTGTTTTTGAAATATAAATATTTTTTCCTACAATAGTTAGTACAATTTGAAAAGACATTTTCTACCATTATTATGGACCTAGTTCAATGAAAGTCTATGATGGGAGGTGTGTAGTGCTCTAGTTAAATGTTTTTATTTTATTACTCCTTCAAAATCAAAATGCATGTTGCAAGAACTTAACCTTGATAGATAGATAGATAGATAGATAGATAGATAGATAGATAGATAGATAGATAGATAGATAGATAGATAGACATGAAAGTCAAAGTGAAACATGTTCATTACTGACTGGTCATGAAGCCTGGAAGCTACAGACAGTTTCACAGTTTGTTTGTGCTCATCCTTCAAATATCAAATCCTGCAAACAAAGCAGTCATACAGCTGGTAATGTTAGCTTACAATGACTCATGTATTGACAGAGGCATTTACAGTCCATTTACTTAAGCTTTGCAAAATTAACTTCTCTGACAGGTGTCACTGTGACAAGAGACAGAAGTTGGGGCAGGAGGGAGGAGCACTGACTGTACTGTTTCTTGTCCCTCTCTGACTGGCTCCTGATGAAATTTTAAACCAGACTGTATGAGTTGGTGGTTCAGTACTGCCATCTTCTGGATAAAGTTGCCTATTGTTTTGTCATAAGATCCCCTCATGCTCCAACACTTTTTTATATACAGTAGACATGTTCTTGCTGCATTTCACATTTTAAGTTTTGTCTTGCATCTGATTCAAAACTTATTTCTCTTACACTACATGTTCACATTCCCAGCTCGTCCAGTAACGACGCCTCCTTTTCCCCAGCTTAAACTATAGTAACAAACACAGCAGTAGTAGACAAAACTAGACATGTATTTGTACTACCAGATTAGATTTATCCAATTTATTTAATTCCTGTTAAACTCATTTCATTACAATGCTGCCAGTGACACTGATCTCCAATTATTCCTACAGTGACAAAGATCTTATTTCTGTTGATTAATATACACTGCAAATAACAGAAAAATGTGTAGCTAACCAAGTTGGTGAGCAACATCAACTTATTGTGCAAAAGAGAGCATAAATGGCTATAAATAGTGATAGTGTTATCAGTGAAGGCAGCAGCACCTGTATGCAGACAGAGCTAAAGATTCTTCTTTTAACTTTACAGAAGCTAATAGTGCCCTAGTATCCAAGACCTTTATGTTTGAGAGGACACTTTGGGACTTAGAGGTCTAAATTTAACACAGTAGCAAAACCAGCACATGTATCTCTAACTTTTTTATTATTATCATTATTATTAGAACACAAAACAGACAAGCTATTTTACCTTAGCAGGACAGGACACAAAGACAAAAGAATGGTTACTTAGATGGAACATACAGCAGGGATGC